GTGCCACAAGGGTTAGGTCTCGGGTTCGAATCCCGGCAACTGCGATGAGGGGTTACTATGCTGAAAAATGCATAGGGCTTCTGCAAGTACCGGGGACAGAGCTCCACTCTCTATCTGTCAGATTGTGATTATAGTCCAATTTACAAAAAAAAAAGGATGACACCCCATCCCCTGAGGGCCCCCCCAACACCGACCGGACAGCACGATGGGAGGATGTAAATTGGACTATAATCACAATCTGACAGATAGAGAGTGGGGCTCTGTCCCCGGTACTTACAGAGGCCCTATGCATTTTTCAGCATAGTAACCCTTCATCGCAGTTGCCGGGATTTGAACCCGAGACCTAACCCTTGTGGCACTCCCTCGCTACCAGTTGAGCTACGCCCACCGGTTCCAATTTACATCTTCCCATCGTGCCGTCCGGTCGGTGTTGGGGGGCCCTCAGGGATGGGGTGTCATCTTTTTTTTTCAAATTTGTGGCACATTATTATTTTGGCAATGACGTATGATTGATATATAATTATTACTATAATAACTACCTAGCACATTATAATGGGTGTATCCGTGACGTAAAATGAGATGAATGCAGCAATAAAATACGGAATAATTTGGGGGAGCTGAGGAGTGGAAATGATTTCAAGGATTGATTTTATCGATGTAGACAAAAACAGAACAGTCGTGCAAATGTGAGTAGTGATGCAAAAGGTAGAAGACTATTTAATTAAAGATATGCACATACAGGAGGTTGTTATGCTTTCCAAAAAGGAAACAATCATTACATTGTACATAAAATGAGAAATTGCGTGTATCAGATATACTCCCTCCGTCCCTAATAACTTTGCCAAGTTTGACCGACACGAGGATTAATAAAGTAAAAACTGTGTGGTTGAAGTTTGTGCAGAGGAGAGAGAATTAACTGGAACCACAAATTCTTTACTTAAATGGGAAAGTGGCAAAGTTAATAGGACATCCAAAAAAGGAAAGTTGGCAAAGTTATAAGGGACGGAGGGAGTATATAAAAATATGATTTGTTACTAGTAATGAAATTAGAGTAAATGATGTTCAAGTTTTGAACTTAAATTATCACAACATTACGTTGTATAAATGAATAGTCATATTTATGTAAATACGTTTTATTTTAGTAATATTCTTGTAAAAACCCCTATAAACAATTGAAGTAAAAATTCTGCATTTTTTGATAAATTGTTTATATACTAATAAACCTAAATAACTAGGAAATGTGTACAAAAGTCGTGTAAAATAGTTTGTAAAAAAATTCTCAGATAAGATAGTGATTTTCTATAATGCTGGTCTTACCGTTTCTAGGGTCTACAGTAATTCTATATCATTGAATAAGATTTCTCGGGTTTAATGCACCAAATTTTCATGTGATAAAATTTGGTGCATTCATCTTCGTGATTTAAAACATTTATCGTAGAGTACACCGTTTTCACAATGTTTGATAATGTTTAATACTGTTTTGCACTTTGTTTTCATTGTTATTTAAGAGTTGTCTAGAAAATTGATTGATGCTTCGTATAATTATATAGTTTTGTTAACCAAATACTGCACTTTATTTAGGGGCATCCATAAAAGAAAAGCGAAAAGTTTATTTAAAGACTGATGGAGTAATATTTAATTTAGTACCTGAAGTATTATTTTTTCAAATATAGAAACCAAGAAAGTAAATAAAAATATCATCGTAAACTTTCAAAAGACATTTTCACACAATCGCAAAATTCAATTCATAATTAAATAATTAACCTCATATAGTAAACAAGACAAACATAATTGGTTGGATATAGGAACAGTTGAAAAATCAAAGTAGCCTAATGGTTTTCTCGAACAGTCGATTGAACTCCTTTCAGTGCATTTGTGATTGTCTTGAATCTCCCATTGGATCTTATTTTTCCTTCTCGCAATTTGCGTAACGAACTAACGAAGAGTAACTTTAATTTGCAGTAGTGTGTGCACTAGTATTGTAAATTTGATAGTCCAAGTCACATGCATAGTGAAAAGATTTGTCATTATAGGTAATGATTTATCCATGTCTCACAATCATATATACTATATAAATGATTTATATATATCATGCACTAGGATAACATATATACGTGATAGTTAAGAATGTGTTACGCGATACGATACTTCTCAAATAGGTATCGGATCGGTCCTCATGCACGGCCACTAATAAGCCTTTTATATCACGCTCTCAACCTCTCATGATAATTATTTATGTTTTACAAAATTAATATAATATTAGATAAAATTTCACGATAGGTCGGAAATATGAACTACAACCAAAAGTGAAGAAAATAGCGTCCAAATCAAAAGAGGTAAAAGACCGGCACTTCTGAATCAACTAGGGAAGCCAAAAAGAGTTCGAAACAACTCCCTTCGTCCCCTTTTAAATGTCTCATTTTACCATATTGGGATGTCCATATTTAAATGTCTCATACCTTTTTTGATAAAGTTTGTGTGGCTCAAAATCATTATTACTTTATTCTTACTTTATCAATTAATATCAACCACACAAACTCACTTTTCTTAAAACTCGTGTCACCCTCCTCCGGGACATTTAAAAGGGGAAAGAGGTAGTATATAATTACATGTTGGGAACTGTCTGGTGTCAGACTCGAGACCCAATCAGCACCGGTCACCTTGTTACCTTCGCCAACGCCAGAGATGGCGAAAACACAAAGAAACTCAGTTGACTCCATTGCTGATCTACCCAAATAATCAAATATGTTTAAAAAAACAGTTGAAGAGGAAGATATTTGATGTAAGTTTTCTCGCAATTAAATTAAATATGAATAGTATGATATATGTACGAGTATCGTCTCCACAGGGACGAAAAAGGGAATTAAGTGCTAATTGATTTCAAAGATTAAAATAAATAAATTAAATGTGAATGTGAGGGATAGGTTTGAGAAAATAAATTTAGCATGAAAGTAAATTAAGTTGGTTGGATCTTATGAATTAATGACAAAAATGAGATAGGGTTTGATTCCGGTGCAACTTTATTTCGAGATTGGTCGGCCTTAATTACATGAAATTAGTTAAATGAGCAACTCTATCAATATTAAATTATTATCACTCTCATGAGGCAGATCAAGTACTACAACGATTTAGAGATCAAAGTTGATCTCTCATGCGACAATCTTAGCTTCTAAATCATATTGTTGCCAAAACTTCCTAACCGTGCTAATTAATCTTGTAACAAGTGCTAAGGTGTATGTAAAAATGTCCTAGAATAATTTAGATCTCTCTTAACATATTCTATGTACAATTATAATCCGAATGACTATTTTGGGTCATAAAAGTTAACAAAATAAATTATTCACACACAAATTAAATAATAATCATACAATTAATGCATAAAAAAACGCAACCTACATCATATGTCGCCCCTTCACCAATCTCAAATCCTTAAATATAACTACTCATAATTCATAATCGAATTAACAACATAATTGAAAACGTGAGAATTATTTGTCATTAACTGAAAGGAAAAACTTATAAACAATCCCACAATTCTAACGAATCAATGCTGAAAAACAATACAACTTTCGTCACAGGCTTGTCTCTTTTTTTTTTTTTTTTCTTTTGAAGAAAAGTGAATTTTATTGAAAAAAAAAAAGAAACAGTACAATGCAAAAAGGAAAGAAAGGAAACAAAATAAAACAGTACAGAGAAAGAAACACTTAAAAACTAAACCCAAGGAAATTCTCTAGACTGCGATATAGTTCTCATGTTGTGGCGCCTTTTATTCTTTTGAGATTTCCTGTAGATTTTTAGTTGCGTGTTTAAGTTGTCCGTTGGCAGGCAATTCTCTGAGGTAACAAACTTTGATTTTTTGCAAATCAATCGGTTGAATTTTGATTTCGCAATTTCTGTCGGAGTTGAGATAGGGGGACGACGATCGCTTTCAGTCGCATGTCCTAGAAAGTCGTCCATGTAAAAAGAGTCATCTGATTGATAAAAGTTATCTGATGCGTCTGAGTATGCCTGAAGAAGTCTTGGTTGTTCCACCAGAGTCGGAAACCAATGTTTCTATGAGAAGGCTCCTCGAATTTGAGAGTAAAAAATGAGCTTAGATATTGATGTTGGCTCCTCTGTTAGTAACCTAATTTCTTGTAGCCGGTGCATAGGTTCCCCTTGTACTAAATTAGAAATTGCCACGAAATTAGAAAAGACTGCCAGAAATTCGAGCAGTTTTGATTTTTGTGGGCCCGTTGGAATTAAAATGAAATTGCCTTTGTCTGGCAATTTTTATGAATCCGCCGGATTTATTAAAATTTGAAGAGACCGAGATAGGCCCGAACATGGGTTTACAACCTATTTAAATAGAAAAGACTCATAATTGAGGCGTTTTGGGCCTCACGCGGTCTTGGGCACAACCGTGCTTGCGCTCAATATCTGGCGTCTTCGCCTCGCGCATTGCGTGCACGTCTCGTGCGAATGTCCATGCGCATTCTTATGCGAGCGCAAAATCTTCTCTTTTTTATTTTATAGAATTTCTCTATTTTTATGATTTTATTATAGATTAAAATCTTATCAAGCTTTTATTATAAATAAAGAATGTTTTTCTTATTAAGTTTAGGTAAGAGTAGTACCTAGTATAAGGGTAGAAAAGAAAGCACAAATGACACCTATTTGAGAATATAAACATGGTAATCCTATTTTCGAGTGTAGGTAGAATTGAATACATTACAATGACAACCTTGTACAAGCGTAAAACACTTTGAGGATGGTCGGCCACGTCACTCGCCCCCCTTGATCCCACCCTGCGCATGTTTCTCCCTCTCTCTCATCTCTATATATCTGCGCAGACATGGATGAGCTGAAGCGGCTAGCCAGCCAGAGAGACAGATGCGATAGCTAGCACAGAGAGTTTATACATACATCATACATACATACGTATAATTAATTGATAGATTAAAATATATACTCCGTGTTATATATACTAGCAGCTAGCTCCGATCCTCATCATATATAGAGCGAGATTAAGATTATATATAGTAGTGAGGTAGCTCCTCAATCCTCCATTCCTCATCAGTCATCATATACAGAGAGAGAGACATGGGGAATGAGAAGAGGAGCTTGGTGGTGGTGGTGCAGCGGTGGTTGAAGCATGCGAAGCCATACATCGGCGTGGTGTTCTTGCAAGTTAGCTACGCCGCCGCTTCTCTGGTTTCAAAGGCAGCACTGAATCAGGGAATGAACCATTACATTTTTGGTGTTTACCGGAATCTCATCGCCGCCGCCGTCTTTGCTCCCTTTGCCGCAGTCTTTGAAAGGTCCCCTTTCTTCTTCATTTCCTCTCTTACTTTCTCTTCAGGAGCCATACATATGTAAACTCCCTGGGGAGCCGGAGCTAGAGTTATAAAAGGATGAACTGATCTACACTAGCTACAATCATGGTGTGCAAGTCTCGTGCATCCAAATTTTTTCCTAACTTTCTAAATTACTGTAAATTATTTTATTTCATTTTTCATGATTTACCCAACCTCATGTTTATTTTATCTAGTATTATTATTCTTTGATCCGATTCAATTTTAATCAGATCTGTAGATCTGTCCATATGTGTGTACGCATTGGCGTCCGCACGAGCTCAAACTGGGTTTGGCTAGTACAAAAAAAGAAATTGGAAAAATATGAACGCAATTTTGTGGAATATAAAAGGAAGAATGGATCTAGGACTATGTCGTGCAAGTCCAGTGCATTCTAAATTTTTCAGAATTTTAATGTAAATTTTTATTTTATTTTTCATTTACTGAACTTCATAATTGATTAAATCTAGTACTATGTGTAATTATTATTTAATCAGATTTGTAGACATGTCTATAAGAGCAACTCCAATGCTCTACTTTCAACATTAAGAAATAATGGACACATGGCAAGAATTGTATGGAATGTCAAGCCACATAAGGTGAGAGTGGAAGCATCATAAATTGAAAGTGCAAAACCTTCTCCAATGCAATTCAAAAGAAAGAAGTTACGTAAAAAAAAAGGCTTCTACAACTGCTACTTCTACTAGCAGTAATGGATAAACATAAAATCCGAATTTACCGCCTCCACAAACCCAGGCCACTCGTACATAGTTTTCACCAAAAATTCGGAATTGTTTTCAAATAATTTTCCAAATAGCTGACTCAGCCTTTCTAAATGGCTTTGTAAAATTCGAAAGTGCCTTTGACACTTTGCTTGACACATACGCACAACAGCGAAGTCTAAAGATTGCATTGGAGCAAGTTTTTTAACACGGCTTTTCACTTAAATGATGTGGCATATATTTTTTAATGTTGAAAGTGGAGCATTGGAGATGCTCTAAGCTCAAACTGGGCTTGACCAGTACAAAAAATAATTTGAAAAAAATTAACAAAATTTTCTTCAATTATATTTAAAGAATTTTTTAAATTTAGAATTGGTTGAGGCTTAACATGCATGATCATATTTATTACTCATGTCTAGTTTTCAGTTTTATTTAAGTATTCTTTCTTTCATCCTACATAGGGTTGTTTCTTTAATTTCACGTTTTTTGTTTACGTTTATATATATGTGCTGTCTTGCTTTGCTGACGACTAAAAACCTTTGTTATATTAAAAGAAGAAGGAAGAAGGCCAACAAAATTAAACTTATCATATTTTGAACGCTTTAAGAACTGATACAAGACAATAAAATTGGTTTGTTGATGATATGCTAATTAATAAGGACTCTTTTTTAACACGAAAAAGATATCGTGAAGTATTGGAAATGATGGGTACTTTGATTATATATATTGCTATATCTAGAGTGGTAGACGCTGGTACGCACCAGTGCACCACCATCACACAATCACACGTATAAATCGTGTTTTATTTGTCTGAATAAATTAAACAATCTTGTGTCGAAAATATGATATATATGCAAGTAGTGGTGTAAATTAAAATATATTGTCACAAAAAACTTTTTAAATAATGAGGGGAAAATTCAAATAGGACTATAACACACAATTCAATGTCTCAAGTAAGATTATATAGCATCTCATTTTTTTTCTGAAATGTAGGACTCGTCATTGATCGACATCAAAAATAAAATATAAATTCGCTGCTTTCATCCTTTATTAAGACTGAATGAGTCTTTTATAATAATAAAACAAAAAAAGTTTTATTTATGTGAATGACTTAATTATGCTTTACTCATCTATGTGTATGTGTGTGTCCAAGGAATCCCTTGGACAATTCTTCACAAAACCAAATAAACAAGAATTTTATAAAAAAATCTGTACCTTTTATTTAATTTGTCTGAATAAATTAAACAATCTTGTGTCGAAAATATGATATATATGCAAGTAGTGGTGTAAATTAAAATATATTGTCACAAAAAACTTTTTAAACAATGAGGGGAAAATTCAAATAGGACTAAAACACACAATTCAATGTCTCAAGTAAGATTATATATCATCTCATTTTTTCTGAAATGTAGGACTCGTCATTGATCGACATCAAAAATAAAATATAAATTCGCTGCTTTCATCCTTTATTAAGACTAAATGAGTCTTTTATAATAATAAAACAAAAAAAGTTTTATTTATGTGAATGACTTAATTATGCTTTACTAGTTTACTCATCTATGTGTGTGTGTCCAAGGAATCCCTTGGACAATTCTTCACAAAACCAAATAAACAAGAATTTTATAAAAAATCTGTACCTTTTAGAAATTAAGAAAAAAGAAAAAAGTAAACCCTTTGAAAGTAAATTCAAAACAAGACACATTTCAAGATTTTGTAAAAGAAACAAAAAACTTTACGAATTAAAAATCGATGATGAATTTATATGTGTGTGTAGCAATTTCCTATAAAGAATAATCAATAATATCCTTCATGCATATCTATCACTTAATATGTTTCAATTTGTTTGTCTCAATCCTATCTGGTTAACTGAATTTAATTTAATGATTTAATTTTGTGCATCAAATTTTATAGTGTTGAGGTTTAGCTATTTTATTTCGATAGAAATTACACCCTAGAGCATATTCTTATCTTTCTTTAACCCGGTTTCGATCCAAAATCAAAACGTTTTGGGATGAGGGTTAGGGAAAACCTCGGCAGTTCATTAGAAATAAAAAGAGTACAAAGAGTAGGAGAGTCAAACCAAAACCTATTCAGGATAAAGGTTATAAAACATACGGAAAGCTAGTAGCATCAAATTTTAGAATAACAACAAATCTATTAAAATGATGAGTAGTGGTTTTTACAACCATACTATGATAAGGGCATACTCTTATCTTAAAAATATAAGTTTGAATTAATACTATTAATTTATATATGTGCAGCTAGAGAAGTGTTAACTTTAATTAGCAATATCTAAAGAGCTGATTAAGGGTATTCACGTACGGTGTTTATGTATATATAGGAAAATAAGACCAAGAATGACCCTCGGCATCTTCTGGAAGATAATGCTACTGGCCTTGTTTGAGTAAGTTTTTGAAACTCAGCTCGCATATAAATAGTTCTATTTAATTACTACGTTACGGCCGGCTTAAGTTAAATGAGGTAATTAATTAACTTATTGCTTCAATTGTGTCACTGCATGCGTGTGGGTGCAGGCCGGTTATCGACCAAAACCTGTATTACGCAGGGATGAAGTACACAACTGCATCATTTGCAGCAGCAATGTGCAATCTTCTTCCTGCCATCACCTTTTTGTTGGCTTGGACATTCAGGTACATGCTTCATACTTCCACAATCAACTCAAATCAATAATTAGTTTTCATGTCCAAGCGTATTAGGGAATTCATAATAAGAAGATCATCAAGTTCTTATTCATAATATATAGGATAATATATAGGTCCTGGCGAATGTTTTAAATACCGCTAGGCGCTAGCCCGCCTAGCCGGGTGGCAAAGAAAGCCTAAGCCGATTAGGCTCCGACTAGAGAGTAATGATTTTTTCGGCATCAAGTCATATTTGTATTGTCATGCACTCATCATGTAATTTGGTAAAGCAATATAAGCAACCAAATATATACTCGTGATTGTTTATTGGACTTTCCCACAAAAACAGTTTAATGACCAACTGAAATAATTGACATCATACAAAAACACTTGAGCGAAAGTTTTAGTTTAAACAAAAGGTTTTTTAGTAATTAGTAGGCTTTTGTTCTTGAACCTAAACTAAACTGTACTTAACTAAACCTATAAATGATATCAGAAATGATTAACTTAGTTTGATCAAGTATGAGCATTGTGAGAGAATTTCAGCATTCAAAATAGGGAAAACTGTCAAATAGGTCCTCGAACTTTCATAAAAAGGTCAATTAAGTCCTTCTATAGGAGGTTCTGTCCGGCCGTCGCGATTTGGGGCAGTTCCCGGTGGAATTTTTTGATGAAATTTTTTGAGCATCTTATTCATCAAGTCTAGTTTACTCATACCAAACTTCAGCTAAAAATTTAATCGGGAACGCAAAAATTCAAATTAATTCGAGAACGCAAAAATGCGCAGTTATCTTTAAGAATTAATTTGAATGTGTTCCTGATTGAATTTGTAGCTGAAATTTGGTATGAGTAAACTAGACTTGGTGAATAAGATGCTCAAAAACTTTCATCAAAAAAATCCACCGGGAACCGCCCCAAATCGCGACGACTGGACAGAGTCTCCTATAGAAGGACTTAATTGACTTTTTTATGAAAGTTCGAGGACCTATTTGACAGTTTTCCCTTCAAAATATATACTCTAGAGTTTATGATTCTTTGAGGACTTTTGTCAAACACTTTACTTACAAAGTTTCAACACCGATTTACCAGCATGAACTTCTAATTTATATAAATCCTTCATATGCATAGACATTCAAATGATTAATCACTAAACTAATTATGGTACTGGGTAATCATGTTTTGGGACTGTATAGTACACAACAGACGATCCTTCCAATTTCATAAAATTACTGAAAATTTGATGAAAGACAATTAACCGGCCGAATAGAGATTGAAGTGATGAAAGATTACCTCCAAAAATGCGTTGCCGTTGACCATGTGTGGTGGTGAATGATGATAGGCTTGAAGAGGTGAACATCAGGCGGTTGCACAGCCAAAGCAAAATCATGGGTACAACGTTAACCATAGGGGGTGCAATGATAATGACACTTGTAAGAGGGCACATTATTGAATTTCCATGGACGCTCAAACACCAAATCCAGCAATCGGTTAGTGCAACAGCCCCACACCACGATCATCATGTCAAAGGAGCAGCTATGATCGCCGCAGGATGTTTTAGTTGGTCCTGCTTTTACATTCTTCAGGTATATATATGTACGGACTACATTTTAACCTAAAAATTCTGGAACAACATTCAATTCTTCATGTACCCATTTTTAAATAAATGAAACATGTTATCAAAAAAGTAAATGAAACATGTTGAATTTTATACAATTCATACGTTGTACTTTGACCGCGTTTTATTTGTTAACTTATTGGTTTTTTAAAATAAATATAGTTAGATTCATCTAATTTTGGATTTTCAAAAGTTGAGTTTTAATTTTTTATTAATAGAGTATAAAATATATTAAAAGTCAAAGTTGGGTGTTGGGAAATGTGAAATGGAAATGTTTTAACTAAAAACTTTGTGGAAGTATTTTATTAATAAAATAAACAAATAAATAAATAAATATATGAAAAATAGCTAAAATAGTCCACTTCAATAATTCAAGCAAATATAATTCATCCAGAAAAATGACATCGGCCTTGCTTATTTGAATTATTACACATTCCAGCGCACATAATATAAAAGTATGTGTTTGATAAAATAGTTGATTACTAAAGTTAGTTATAAAATTCTTACATACATGTTTAATGTACCGTAAGCTAGAATTATGTATACATACACCGTCAATTAATGACTCAAAATTATATAAGGTTTTTCCAAAGATATTATTGCAATAAAATTGGTGAGGGAAATGTCACTAAAGTACGTGGAAGAATACACAATTTTATAGTCACTGCAATGTAAAAATGATCATAGTTATTGTCACTAAAAGATTTTAGATCATATTTATTTGAGAATATTACTCGAAATAAGACTAAAAAGGTTTGAAAATTCCAAAATAGGACTGTCATGCTTGTACAAAATAGGACTAATTGCTGCCATGTTTTGGCAGTACCAGATTTCAAACATGACAGTATTTTCAAAATTTGGACTAATTACTCCTATTTTGGGAATAAAAAATAGGAAAAATTGATAATAATAATCCCAACTATTGGCGGTCCGCTCATAATAATCCCAACTATTGATTATTACAGAATAATCCCAACTTTAGGGACCTTCCGCCAATAATGGTCCCTATGAATAAATTCTTGTAGTTTCTAAAGTGGATGGGGTGAGATATAACAAGTAATCCCTCTAAATAATCTTAACTTTTAGTTTTTACACTTAATTTCTATTTAAAATTCACTTTTTATAGAGGTAATATATGGTCATGGACCATTATTGGCGGATAGTCTATATAGTTGGGATTATACAAAAATAATCAATAGTTGGGATTATTTTCAGCGGACCAGCAATAGTTGGGATTATTGTTTTCATTTTTTCCTAAAAAATATAGCAGTCATAATTTGGAATTTTCAAAATGTTATAGTCCTATTTCCGGAACTTTCTCTATTAATTTTCATTGTCCTTATTTTGGTCATATAGTAAATACTCCGTAAAAGTTTAGGTCTCACTTTTATAGACTATCCTTATTTTGGTCATATACTTCATATTAGATTCATACTACCTCCGTAACTTAAAAACCTCCCCATTTCAAAAGTAGGTAGATTAAGAATAGTGAAAGAGGATATGAATTATTGAGGGTATGATGGGAATATAGTGAAATAATGTGATGGAATGTAGGATAAATAAAAAAAAATAGTTGTAATAGTGTATTATTTTCAAAATTATTGAGGGTATGATGGGAAGATTTAGAAATGAGAAGATTTTTTTGTTACGGACGAAAAAGGAATGTGGGAAGATTTTTATGTTACGGAGGGAGTATTAGATTAGAATATTACATTCCAATTAGAGATTCACTTACAATGTGTTATATTTTCCGTCAACAGGCAATCACGTTAAAATCATATCCAGCTGGACTATCGCTGACAACCCTCATATGCACATTTGGGGCATTGCAAAATCTTGTTTTAGCTCTAGTGGTTGAGCGTGATGATCATTCTATATGGTCTATACGGTGGGACATCATATTAGTGGCTTATATTTACAATGTACGTTACTCATCAATCATCATATGAACAATTCCTTATATTTGAAATATTATTTGAATATGGTTGATCTAATTAACTAATGAATAATATATGCAGGGAATTGTTCGATCTGGAGTTGTTTATTATGTCTCGGGAGTAATCATGAATGAAATGGGACCATTTTTTGTTACTGCATTTAATCCAGTAGGCATGATTATGGTCGCCATGATTGGATCCTTCATCTTTCAAGAGCAATTAGATTATGGAAAGTAAGTAATCACTTTGCTTCTCTCTCTCAAACAACTTTGTTTTCTAGCTTTTCAAAGATCTTCTATTTGGATGAATCTTTTTCACCGGTATATATAATTTAAAGTTACTGATTTTGGACTTTATCTAGAGTTCCATTAATTCTTTATGCACAAAGCAATGTTTGCAGTATATAGGTTGTATGACTTTGTATAAAAGTAAACGGTTGATAATATTCAAACATCTTTAATTTATGAGACGGAGGGAGCAACTTAACTGATCATTAACATGGTTTGCCCGATTCTATGTAGGGTTTTTGGAGCTCTGACTATTATTGTTGGACTATATTCAGTGATATGGGGAAAGAGTAAAGACAATAAGGCTTCTTCACAATCAGTAGAGGATGATGATATTTTATCAACTGGTAATATATCTACCAACAATGAAGATATAACCCCGAGCAAGTCTTCAAATGGAGAGATAGAAGTTGGAGATATTGCCAAAGCACATTTCGATGAAGATGTTGTCTAATGTTTTAGACAAGTTTTTAAAAATAATTTAAGTGTATAACTGTGCGCATTTTCAATTACATTTTGATTATTTTTAGTGTAAATGCCTATGTTTTAAAAGCCAAACTAGGGAGCTAGCTGGCAAGGATAAATGATCGGGTCACGTGACAAGTCAGGTTTGGAGAGTCATCCCGACCAGACCAGCATTAGATCTGTCAAAATCTAGAGTTCTATTATATCCTAAAAGGTCAATTCTGATAGGGGAAGTAGTAGCCCAAAATCTTATATAGTGTTTTATTGTTTTTATAGCTTTCCGGTTTGGGACAAATACTCTAATAACACGCCCCGTCAGCTTGAACCGGGCTGAACAATATCGGAATGTATAAGTGGGCCAAATAGACCTTTAACAAGCTACCCTCAATCATGAGTGCTGAACAAGATGTCAAAACACAATCGGAGTTGGCCCTGATAACATGTTAAGACCCGGGGTTCCATCATAAAAAGTCAACCCTGATAGTAGGAGTAGCCCAAAGCCTTATATAGTGCTTTCTTATTTTTATAGCTTTCCGGTGTCGGACAAATAATCTAACAGGATCAATCAGGTCAACCTTGAGTAAAATATACTTTGTACAATATAGAATATGCAATATCTACAGTACCCTTAATACGATATCACACTTTTTTCATATGAATCAATTACAATGTTGCAATTAAATAATTTCAAAATAAATAAATGGTGAAATAGTGATTTGGTCCAATCAAATCATTAATAGGTATGATACCACTTTTTCTAGCGAATCCCACACCCTATCGAGTCTTTTTTTTCTCCACCAATAACCATTCCGAGCATAACTCCAAAGGTAATAGAAAAACATTCATTACATATGAAGACATAGCTTGAACCACATTTTTCAAAAGTACCTCTCTGTCAGCTTTAGATAGGAATCTTCATTACATATGAAGACATAGCTTGAACCACATTTTTCTCAAAAGTACCTCTCTGTCAGCTTTAGATAGGAATCTGTTACTCCATCCTTGAATTTTTTTCAGAACTCGTTCCCTCAAATAACTCAAAATTTCAGCTTTATGCCTACCAATTAACGCAGGCAGCCCTAAATATTGGATATCATTAATTCCCCTCTCTTGAAACATCAAGTAACATGCAAATATTCTCCTTAACCTGTTCAGGGATATTTCAACTGAAAAAGAAAGAAGATTTAGAAAAATTAATTTTTTGTCCTGACTCAGATGCGTAGGTGTTAAGAATCTCTTTAACCATAGTGCATTCCTCAATATTTGCTCTAAAAAAGAGAAAACTATCGTCATCAAAAAATAGATGAGATACCCTCGGGCCGGGGCACCCCCTTGCCATACACCATAGATTTTGCACATACTCTGCTTGCGCCTGATCAATAAACGGAGCCCTTTGGAAACTAAGATGAATAAATAAGGGGATAAATGGATCCCCTTGTCGTAATCCCCGTTTAGGGGTAATCAGACCCAGTACACTATTATGAGACGGAATTAAATAGTCAACATGCAGTGGATACACACATTCTTGGACTATCCGGATCCATTTTGGAGGGAACTTCATTGCCCTCATCACATTAGCTAGGAAACTCCATTCTACTCTATCGTAAGCCTTACTGATATCAAGTTTGAGGGAAACAAATCCCTCTTTTTCTTTAGTCTTACGCTTAAGGTAGTGATGGGTCTCAAAAGCAATCATAATATTGTCCACAATAGAGTGGCCTGGTACAAACACGTTTTGATTAACCGAAACAAGAGAATTTAATATTCCTTTTAAGCGGTTAGCCATGACTTTTGCAAAAATTTTATAGATTACCGAGTATAAGGGTATGTTAGTATATGTGTCCTAGCGACAATCATTTTAAGAGATATATGTCCTAGAAATGATCAAGCATTTCGATTGTCAATTCTTTATTCATAATTGTGTTCCCTTGGACTTATGTTGTCACTAAGTAAGTGGGAACTTATATGATATAACATAAGGTCCTAAAATAGCCCCAATCAATGATCATCAAGAAAGGAATATTGATGATATTCGATAAGACTGGTATGTGAACTACATCATACTCTTAGAAAGTATAGTTGATCTCACAACTATGAGTTCCTTTCATTTATAATGGTCACATAAATATTTTAGAGAATATTGGCATACCCACCGAGAAACCATGCATTTGATAAGTTCTATTCATGTGTATATGAGATTATCGGCGTATAGAGTAGTGTAATACAAAACCATGACCATGACTAATGCTTGAGGTCAATACGTACTACATGTGCGGATTGATGTGCTTTGATCACGACTAACGCTTGCACTCTAATCAGTGTAGACAGGACATGTGTTGGGTACATCATGAAGCATATGGATAGTAGTTGAGCCAAGAAAGGATTCATTCCTCGTAATAGATTAAGAGAGAACATTCTACTTCTCATATCTAGATGGATCATAATGTTATTGCCCAATGCAAAGATATATTCGTTTTGGATATCGAATATGATCATTATGGATCATCTAGAAAGATTGAGAGATAGAGGCTAAGTTATTGGAATAGACACAATATCAAGTTCTAGAGTTAGTTAAATGTTCGTTAAATGAAAGGACCGTGTCACAATGAACTCTATATTATGGGGAGTTTGAATATTCCTTGCAACTGAAATTCCAGCATCTACAGTTTAAAACACCCTTGGCTTGAGTGATTGCAATAGCACTTGTGTTATCACACAGAATGCTAATCTCCTTAGTTTCTTCCCCATAGTCCTTCAATTGTTGCTTCATCCAGAGTATTTGAGCACAGCAGCTGCCTGCTGCTATGTACTCTGCTTCAGTTGTGCTTGTAGCAATTGAGTTTTGCTTCTTGCTAAACCATGAGACTAGTCTTCCTCCAAGCAATTGACAAGTTCCAGAAGTGCTCTTCCTATCAATTTTGCATCCAGCAAAGTCTGAGTCTGAGTAGCCACATAGATCAAAGCCTCCATTTATTGGATACCATAATCCAGAGTTAGGATTGCCTTTGAGGTATCTTAGTATCTTCTTTGCTACTAGAAGATGGCTTTCTTTTGGCTTTGATTGAAATCTTGCACATACCCCAACTGAGTAGGATATGTCTGGCCTACTAGTTGTATGGTATAACAAGGATCCAATCAATCCTCTGTAAAGTGTAGGGTCAATATCTTTACCTTCTTCATCGGGAGTTAGACCTTGTGAAGTGTTCATAGGAATCTTCACAGTGGACTTGTTCTCAACCTTGAATTTCTTCGTGAGATCTCTTGTGTATTTGGCTTGATTGATGAAGATACCCTGAGGAGTCTGCTTTACTTGTAGTCCCAAGAAATAGTTCAACTCTCCCATCATGCTCATTTCAAATTTGCTTTGCATGAGAGTTGAAAACTTCTTGCATAGTGCTTGGTTTGAGCTTCCAAATATTATGTCATCAACATAAATTTGGACAAGTAGTATGTGTGTACCTTCTTCAATTTTGAAGAGAGTTTTGTCTATTTTGCCTTTAGTGAATCCATTGCTCACTAAATATTGAGAGAGAGTATCATACCATGCTCTCGGAGCTTGTTTGAGTCCATAGAGTGCCTTCTTTAATTTGTAGACTTGATCTTTCTCTTTGTTAACTTCAAATCCAGGTGGCTGCTCCACATAGACCTCTTCTTCTAGTAGACCATTTAGGAAGGCACTCTTTACGTCCATTTGATAAACAGTGAACTGCTTGTGAGCAGCATAAGTTAGGAATATTCTTATTGCTTCAAGTCTGGCAACAGGAGCAAAAGTTTCATCAAAATCTATTCCTTCTTCCTGGCAGTAGCCTTTGGCTACTAGTCTTGCTTTATTTTTGATAATGGTGCCTTCCTCATTTATTTTGTTTCTGAATACCCATTTGGTTCCTATCACATGTTGATGATAAGGTCTGGGTACAAGCTCCCATACAGTGTTTCTTTCAAACTGGTTGAGTTCTTCTTGCGTGGCTTGTATCCAGTCAGAGTCAAGTAGGGCTTCTTCAATTTTCTTGGGTTCAATTTGAGACATGAAGCATGAGAACAATGCTTCTTTTTGGATTGATGATCTGGTACGAACCCCTTCATGGATGTTTCCAATGATTTGGTGAGGAGGATGTTTGTTCAACCATCTAATGTCAGATGTGGTTGTGTTGGTTTGAAGTTGTTGGTTATCTTCCTCTTCTTCTTCTTCACTATCCTCTGGTAGAATAGGATGATTAGGGATGTCATGAGTGCATGGAAAGTTGTCTTTTGGTGAGTCACCTGCTGGCAGTGGGCTGACAGTTGAGTCAACTGCTGGCATTGGACTGCTGTTTGAGTCAACTGCCTTTCCATCTGTTTGAACATTGCTATTTGGAAGGCAGCTTGGAGCCTTTCCAGTGACCTTTGATTTGGATGACTCACCACATGAATTGATTCTTCTACCACCATAGTTCTTTTGTTGAGGATCCGGAATGCCTTGCTTGTTGTTGAGTAGCCCAGGAATATCCCTTCATCAGATTTGGGATCAAATGGCTTGAGATAGTCTTTTCCATTGTTTAAGATAAAGCATTTTGATCCAAACACACGGAAATGACTAACATTAGGCTTCCTTTCTTTCCATAACTCATATGGTGTCTTTTTGAGAGTTTTATGAATAAGACTTCTATTTTGAGTGTAGCAAACTGTGTTGATTGCTTCTGCCCAAAATCTTTTGAGTAATCCAGCTGCTTCTAAAATTGTCCTTCCAGCTTCTTTGAGTGTCCTGTTCCTTCTTTCAGCAACACCATTTTGTTGAGGTGTTCTTGCTGCTGAGGTTTGATGATAGATTCCATTTTCTTCACAGTACTGAATTTTGATGAAGTTGAGAAATTCAGTACCTCTATCTGACCTGATCTTCTGAATTGAGAGACTTTTCTCATTTTGAATTAACTTCATTAATTCAGGAAGTTTCTTCTCTGTTTCATTCTTCTTCTTTAAGAATATAGTCCAAGTGTATCTAGAATACTCATCCACTACGACCAGGGTGTACCTTCTACCACTTAAGCCTGTTGGTTCAACTGGTCCAAACAAGTCAAGGTGTAGTAGGTTTAAGGGCCTAGTTGATGATTCCACTTTCTTTGATTTGAATGATACCTTGGTTTGTTTTCCTTTTTGGCAAGCATCACAGAGATGGTTCTTCTTGAAATTGATTTCAGGAAGTCCTTTCACCAATCCTTTTCTGGACAGTTTGTTGATAGTTTTGAAGTTGAGATGGCTTAATTTGTTGTGTCATTCCCAACTTAAAATTGAATCTGCCTTGGTCACCAAGCAGATCCCTTCCTTTGCTGAGTTCCAATCAACTACATACATGTCCTTTCTTCTTCTTCCAGAGAGC